TAAAATAAACCTTGTGGAGACTTTTGAACGTAGAAAAACACGTGTGGCGGCAGCGTATTTGACGACGACTTTCGGTTTACCCCGCACCCCCGCGTCTATCCAATGACTAGACTATTAATAATTCAAGAATATTATTATTCAATATTCTTGAAGTGTTTTTATTTGAATAGGGATTCAGGGATTGTTATGATGATTTTTGTAGAAAATTGTATGTTTTTTGTGGTTTTGATTCACCCTAAATATATACATACATGGGTGTCCCACTAAGGTCAGCCAGGTACGATATTATGGAGACCATAGACCTTACGTAACTTGAAAACGAATGCAGATATTGAATTGCGGTTTGCGCCAGAATGTAGATATTTTTTTGCTCTTCAAGCACAGCAATACAAAAATAATATTATGCCATTTGGATTTTTCATGAAAATTAGAAAAAACTGGATCTTGAATAAACAGCGCCCTCTAGAAGACGCGGTGGGAACTATCAACCTCGAACGAAGTGGTGTTCTTAATAACAATGAAATTGTCTTTCAAATAAACCCAAATTGAATGAGTTTAAATGAGGGGTATGGAAGATACAGCAATTTCTAAAAATAAAAAATTCACCAGCTTCCCCCACCCTTATTACTGAAGATACGAAAAAAAGCCTAATAACCAAACTGGCGCAAAAATTGATGAACTTTTGATTCCTGTTGTTAAAACAGTATCTTAATATAGCGATTTCTTGAGAAAAGTCGAATTTTTAGCTATATCATCGTAATTACGCCCCCTAGCGGTCATCCTAGAAACCTGAAAATAATTTCCATCAATTTCTCTTGGCCGATTTAGTTAAGAAAAAAAAAATCCCGAAGCCGTAAGGTCTATGGTTTCCATAATATCGTACCTGGCCGACCTTAGTGGGACACCTGGTACATAGGTACAAATTCATTACAAATCGTCATTGCAATCAGAAAGAAGCTGAAACCAGAATTATTTTTCGCATGTTATCGGTAAATATAAATGGAAAGCTTGTAGTTAAATGTGATAATACTGATGATTAATAATTTATTATTATTCTATTCTACCCACGAACCTTTCAATAATAATGAAATATTCACATTCGGTCACACAAATATCCATCACTAATAACGAAACATTCGCATTCACACTATTTCAAATTCTTTATTGATGCTATTACACAAACATAGTGCTTACACAAGTCAAAAAAATATATATCAATCAGTACATCAATATTACAAAAAAATTTAAAATAATAAAACACTCAAATCTAGATCTATATCACATCACTTTGAAACAATCAAATAAGTTTTAAAAAGTTTAACAGTTATTTATATAAGACAAACAGACAAATAAACAAATTTGACAAATTTGGCACAGTTATAAAATAAATACTAATACATGTAGTTGATGTGATTATAAACAGATTATTGTTTTTATTTTTATTTCCTTCCTTGAGTTCCCAACAAATGCAATCACTCAGAATGCATCTTGTTATTCGACCAACTGAGTGTGGAGTTGTAATATTCATCCAGGGAGTAGAAGGCTTTACTAACAAGCATATCTTTGACTTTTTTCTTAAACAACGTGTTGCTTAGGTTAATTACCTGTTCTGGTAGTTTATTAAAAAGTTTAACAGCATGGTATCCTGGGCCATTTCAAAAAACATTGGCAAATTTGCATGCGAAGGCTTACCAAGCTTCCACAGCATTACTGGATGTGATACTTACTAACTCAATTTTTAAAATCAGAAAAAAAATGGCCTGGGAATTATATTATAAAAATTGGTCTACGCTTATTATCCACCTCAGATTCTCCACCAATTTTCAATGATGCCACCTGAAGAAGGAATTTTAATTTCCAGAAAATTTGTAATTTGTAAGTTTGTTATTCAAAAATACTAATAATACTAATAATAGCCAGCAACAAGCCCAGGAATTGCCTCGGACAAGATACTTCCAATCTACATGTGCTAAGGTAAATTTATGAAAAAAAAAACATAATCATCTCAATACCCATTGCCCATGCAATTATTGAACATTTATATGGGCCAATAGTCATGTTGGTGAAGTTGAAATGTGAAAAGATCCATTTTTATTTGGAAATTCAATGGATGAACAAAATTTTATGGTTTCAAAAATGATGAACCGCAAGCTCCAATTCCGGAAGATATAAGGAAAATTATTTCCCTATTTTTCAATGACAAAATTTGCAATACTTTTAAGTAACAGTGCAAAAGAGCGGGTTTCTTGTAGTGTGAATTGCGGATGCAAAATGAATTTCATTAATATGAATAGCGACACTATTAATGTGAATCTGAGTCTCGATCTGAGTGAAAATTCTACTGCACTTGAAGAAGAATTATTGTTGGATACATTTTTTTAATCACACATTTTTTCTATAATAACAGGATATAATATATTGGCAAAAAATAATTATATTGTATGATTCTTATATTAATGTCAAGCTTTCGAAACCTTTTTTGTTTCTTCTTCAGGACTTATTATGAATTCAATTGAATATTCTTTGTTTCATTTGTAGGTAGGTTAGTAGGTACGTATAATAGGTAAATAATAATTAAAGATATTAATAATAAAAACTTTAATGGTATAAAATGTTTGAACATTTTATTTTATTTAAATTTATACATATAAGCTTTTGATAATAATTAATAGGTAATGAAATATTCATGGAAGCCGGTCTCACAAATATCACCACTAATAAAAAACGATACATTCCCATTCACACTATTTCAAAAAGCATTGGCAAATTTGGATGCAAAGGCTTACCAAGTTTCACAGCATTACTGGAAATGATACTAACAGCTCATTTTTCTTAAATGGAAAAAATGCACTGGGAAATGTATCATAAAAATTGTTCTACACTGAAACCTATCTGTAGCTTTTCATAAGAAGTAGCAATAATTGATATTTTGTCTATTATCGAGGAAGAAATTAAAAAAAAGTAGAAGACACAAATAAATATCTTGATAATAACAAACAAACAACAAAAATAAATAATAAAACACAAAAATATAACAACATACAAAAGAAACAACAAATATTCAATTGAGCTCATCCTGATATATTAAAAAAAAGAAAATTGCACGGTTGTTAACTATAAAACTACTTTTTTTAATATATAAATCATAATCATGAAAAATATTATTAATTTATTTATTTCATTTCATTTTAAATATTATCAAAGTTTTTCTTACGTAATTTGAACGTGGCCGCGGAGAACTCGAGGGCACGAGGGGAAGACTAGGAACGGCCGCTGAGCCGGTTTTCATAACGCGCGCCTTTACGTTCAAATGTCTCTACTGCTTTTATTTAAAAAAATAGACCCAATGTTAATCGAGACTAAATGAAGCTTATTAAATTGCGCAGTTTTTGGTTAAAGAAAAAGTGGAATAATACTATGCATAAGGAAGTTACGGCAAGGTAAGTTTGAAAAAATATTTGCGATTTGTTGCCTTTTTTTTAATATTGCTGTTTTTCTCAACTTGTTGACCAAATTTTTGAAATTATATACCAAACGAAAGAAAATCGAATGAGGAATCGAACTAAAAAAAAAAATTGTTTCTATCTTGCTTTGAACAAAATTTATGCCGGTTCAAAGTAAAAAAAACTATATTCAATATTTATCTAGTTTTTTGCCTATATATTTTATCTGGACCAATGGAGAGTGTCGTCAATTTCCATTTCCTATGTAAAAAAATATGCTTTTTCAAATGGGGAAGGTCCCATTTGGTTGGAACTCGATTTTTTTTATGCATCCTAGAAGAAGCTATCCGACGGACTACTACTAATTAGTACTAATGCACTTGGGGAAATAACTGATTCTCAGTGACCAGCGGCGACAGATAGACTTGTCTTGGTTTATAATAATATAATGTATATGTAACTACTTTTTTGTAATACATACATAATATAATTCAAATATCCTCAATTTTGTGTATTTTTCCATAAATCGAATTTTCCGTAACTCGAACTCAATTTCCTGTCCCTTGAAGATTCGAGTTAGGGAAGTTTCACTGTATGTATATTGTTTTTTTTTTTTTAAAGATTTGTGATGTAGGTAGTAGGCATAGATACCTACTTACCTACTTTTTTTACAATAAAAAAGTTTCCAAGTGACCAACAAGACTGTACCTACATTGGTACCAATGGTACGTACCTCGGTACCTGCCCAGGTAGGTAATCTCTGGAAGTACGGAGGTACTTGTACGGAGGTACTTAAGTAAAAATAGGTAATTTTTGTTGACAAATAAAAGTGATGACATTATTTCTCTGAAAATTAAGTTTTTTCTGTAACTAGTTCTATTTTCTTGCAGTCCCAATCCTAAGAAAGCAGCTATTGCTATGAAAATTTAAAATCATTACATTTTTCATGGCAAGCTCCACAAATCCCTTGAAAATCATAATGACTGCCAGGAAATCATAGAAATAATTGTATGTACCCAGATATACTTTCTGGAAGACTGCTAATGGTTATTATTATGTAGAGACCCAAGACTCAAGAGAGTACCAAGAAGGTACCAAGCATCTTATGAAACAATAATATATTGCATTAATAGCCATTTGCACGGCTATCACTTAAGGGATATTTGATCTAAGAGAAGCTTTCAATGTGACTTCTGTTTCTACAAGGGGCACATTCAAAGCTTCACTTGAATTAAATATTCCTTGAGTTATGGGGTGCAAATGGCTGTTAGCCTAGCATTAGGATTTATTTTTCAAAAACAGAAAACATTCTCATAGCATCCAACTTGAAGGTACCTTGCACTAGTGGTACTGGTAGCCTGGTACCGGTACTAACTATAATTTGTAGTGTAGCACAAAAGATTGCACTTGAATTTAATTTTCCTAGGAAATTTTCAACTATATGGCAACGTTTCTACTATGACTTTGTATAATAGGCATGGCATGTCTCAAAGGCTAAAGCCAATTGTTGAGTGATATATATCATAACATTATATCAATTTTCTAACCGTCACCTACCTCTTTGCCCCGATAAAACAGTCGCTGTTGCCCAGGATCTACTCCAGTTTTTTCTTGGACCATTTTTCTAAGATCTTCGATGGGGGTTGTTTGAGGCAAAGAAAGTAGACTCTCATGTCTCTCCTTGTCCTCCAACCAAGTTGCACTAACCCGAATGTACATTTTCAATATTTTTGACTATCGAATGACTTTACTAATTTTGTCGTTTCTATCACATACTTTTTAGAAAAAATCTCTTATGAGGAAACGAAGTTTTGTGGACCTTTGGGCTGTTGCTTTCTAGGTTAGAGACGAACACAACTTTTCGCGCCAAAACGTATTTTATTTTAATTTTTCAGTGACACGTGACACTGACATTTGAAGGAACGTGGGGTGGGGTGTGCTTCACCAGTATTTTGGGGTGCGTTCGAAATCGCCCTAGGAGTGGCACCGAGTGCACACAGCCATGAATTATTCATGGCTGGTGTCTAGTGTGCATTCGGTGTGACGCCTAGGGTGATTTCGAATGCACTTCTAATCTGAGTTCTCCGTTGTGGTTCTCCGAGCCAAAAATTACCGTTCGTTTATTTAAAAAGTGTGCTCGGTGCAGGCTTATTCGCGTTCGTTTATTAAAATTTTAAGCGCTCAGCGCTCTGATAAAGCGTTCAACTGCTTTGTGCGCTCGCTGGTGACGTGATTATGATTCCGCTTCAGCACGCTCTGCTCTTTGAGCAAAATACCGAACGCAAGGCATGTCGTTACCTCGGTCAAATGTCAGTTGTTATTGCGGTTTCCTGATTTGTGTGGACCTTAGAGCAGGTAAAGCGCTGTCCTACGGACATAAGGAGTAGGAACGCGCCATTCTGCTTATGAAACTAAAGTGAAGCTAAGTTTTTGGCAGGTGTTTGGCACCAAAATACAGGTAAAGCATTGAATTGCCATAACCGCCATTTTTTGTGGACCAAATACGTGCGTTTTTATTCTCATCGAGTTTTCCTGATGAATTCCATCACCGATGAGCAGTACGTCATCAAAATTCATCGCAATTTTGTTGATGAAATGAATCCACTAAAAAACACTTCGATGGATTTTGACATTTGAATTGATACTCTTGACTGCTCTTGACAATGAAAATTTGTGTTGTTTATTTGGTTTGGCCACTTGGCAAATTTATGTGTATGTTATTTTTCATTTCCTGTAACCATACCATGATTGCAGGTCTAGTGTTAGTTAAAAAAATTGTGTTTTGCGAGCTCTTCATCACGATACCCGTCGGCCGTCAACAAAAGTCAACATAATTTTGAGGTTACATTTTACGTTATAATTCATCAGTTCATCCTAAATGAACCTCGATGAAATCGATGGCTAATCGTACTTTCACCGATAAGTGTAGGATGAGAATAAAAACAGACCGATGAAATCCATCGATGTTTTACTGATGAGGAATAAAAACAAAAACAGCCAATTGACATTTTCGCTTAATCGATGAGCTCATCGATGAGAATACAAACGCACGTAACCTGGAAAAAAACGGCTTCATTTTCCAAATCCAGGTTACTACTCCTTCACCTTTACCTGCTCTAAGGCGTGGACTAACTTGAACTGAGTGCAAAAGATGTCAGTCATCACTCATCGGTACCAGTTCAACAAGGCCCGTTTGTGCACGTTTGTGTCTAGCTTTGTACAGACATGAGCCGTTTTCTCGCGTCCACTTTTTTCAAAACAGGTTTGAAACGGGCAATGGTGTTTCCAATAGGTCTGTTTCTGCAGAAATCACAAACCAGTCAGAGTGAATTTCATTGGTTGAAAACAGTCAGAAGACTAGTTTCAACCAATGTAATTCACTCTGACTGGTTTGTGATTTCTGCAGAAACAGAAACAGCCCTATTGACTGTTTTAAACTGGTTTGGAACCAATGTCAAAAAAGTGGACGCGCGAAAATGGCTTTGAACATTAACTCGAACAGCAAATTTAACAATGAACGAAAATCAAAACTATTTATGAAGGCCGAAGGAGCTACGAATGCGTTTGCGTTTTGTGCGCGTTTCCAAACCGGTTCGCAAATCCTGGAGTGCGTTCGAAATTCCCTAGGCGTGACACCGAGTGCACACCAGATGAATTATTCATGGCAAGTGTGCACTCGGTGGACGGCCAGGGTGATTTCGAACGCACTCCCGGCGCTCCCAACTTGTCGGTTTTTTAGCTGCTTTCCAGCTGACGCTTTTGAGCACGCAATCGAGCTTTTGCGCGCGCAAATGCTTCAAGCGCGTATTCGTGTTCCAGCCGTACTACGCTTCGAGAGCTGCTAACTTTTGCGTTTCAAACACAGAACACTGTGCTGCGCCGTGCTTGAAGCACACAGCTGGAAAGCGGCTAATGACATCAAAGGAAATGCCGCGAAGGCGTTCGCAGTTCGCACTGTTCGCTGGTTTGGACGGCTCAGAAGAAAAATAATTACTGAAAACAATTGTGGGAACAGCACGAACGTTCCGTTTGTGGTTCGGATCGTCAAAATCGAAAAATGCCATTCGCCGTTTTGTTTGCTGTTGGATTCGTTTATTTATTTATTTATTTATTTATTAACTGTTTGTTATTCGGTGTAAAGGGCCCCATACACTACGATGAAACACGACGGTTTTCTACAGGGCCCCACAGACTACGATAAAACACGACAGTTTTCATTGCCACGATGAAACACGTCGTTCCAAAACCGAAGTGTGTGGTAGAAAACCGTCGTGTTTCACCGTCGGTTTGAAATTCAGTCCGAGCTTGATTTTTGGCACGACGGTTGAACATTTCGTACACACGAACGGTTTTCTACCACACACTTCGGTTTTGGAACGACGTGTTTCATCGTGGCGGTGAAAACCGTCGTGTTTCATCGTAGTGTATGGGGCCCTGTAGAAAACCGTCGTGTTTTTCTATTACACACTTCGGTTTTGGAACGACGTGTTTCATCGTGGCGGTGAAAACCGTCGTGTTTCATCCTAGTGTATGGGGCCCTGTAGAAAACCGTCGTGTTTTTCTATTACACACTTCGGTTTTAGAACGACGTGTTTCATCGTAGCGGTGAAAACCGTCGTGTTTCATCGTAGTGTATGGGGCCCTTAATTTTCAAGTCTGCGCGAAGCTTTGTTTGAGAAGGCCCAAATTGCTATCCACGCCATCAACCAGTTTTCAGACTATTTTCAACCAATGAAATTCTTTCTGACTGGTTTGTGATTTCTGTGAAAACTGAAAACAGACATTAGCCGCTTTCCAGCTGACGCTTTTGAGCACGCAATCGAGCTTTTGCGCGCGCAAATGCTTCGAGCGCGTGTTCGTGTTCCAGCCGTACTGCGCTTCGAGAGCTGCTAACTTACGCGTTTCAAACACAGAACACTGTGCTGCACCGTGCTTGAAGCACACAGCTGGAAAGCGGCTATAGTCGAAGAAAAAACCGACAGGTGATAGAACTACATAGACTTGATAATTTTTTTCTTTCTTTTATTGTTTAACAATCGGGTCTCTTTGAGAAATATGGTCAAATTTTTTGATCTCCTAAATAGATTAATGACTCAATCAATTCAAATCAAATTAGTCTATACAAAATAACATTACTTTCTCGAGTTTCTCGGTAATTGAATGTATTTTTTCCTACAGCCGTGCGGAAAAATCGATTTTCCGCACTGATATGCGTGCGGAAAATGAGTTTTCCCGCACGGTGCGGTATAGTTATTTTCCTAACAAGTGCGCAAAGTGTTACTTTTCCGCACGCAAACACAGTTATACGAACGACGCGAAGCGGAGTTCGGATAAGTGTTTGCGTGCGGAAAAGACACTTTGCGCACGTGTTAGGAACAAAATTTTTCCTACGAGCTTCATATCAAGTAGGTAACAACAAAAATTAAAAAAAAAAAACGATAATTTGTTCAATTATTTTTAATTAACTTGGAGCGAACCTACGCATTTATCAAAAAATTACGTAACAAAAAAAAATAAATTAAAAAATCCTCGTCAGAGCTGTTCATCTTAAAGCGTTTAAATTTGATGAGAAAGTTTGTAGATTCTTGCATATAAATAGAGAACAAATCTAACAATATGTCAAAGTTAATTATATTCGGTGTTCGTATAGATGTAGGCTGATAAAGAAACAGAGAAAAACTTGTCATCATATGTCAAAGTCGACAGGTACACTTATTGTTGCTTGACAATTATTTTTACTTTTCGGCACTCAGTGCGGATAAGGCCTGTATCCGCACTGAGTGCGGAAAAGTGTAACTTTGAGTACTGAAATGCGTGCGGAAAAGTACTACTTTGCGCACGCTCGTAGGAAAAAACTTTTTTTTTTTGACATATCAGTGCGGAAAAAGTTTTTCCGCACGGCTGTCAGTGCGGAAAAATTTTTACCGCACTGATATGTCAAAAAAAAAAAAAAAAAATTTACATTTTTACGCCTGTAGGAAAAATATTGTACCTAACACTTGCGGAAAATATTTTTCCGCACTCGGCTGCATCACCGAACTCCGCTACGCGTCGTTCGGTGAACGGCAACCGCGTGCGGCAAAATTCATTTTCCGCACTTGTTAGGTAAATAGCTATTTCCTACAGCCGTGCGGAAAAATCGATTTTCCGCACTGATATGCGTGCGGAAAATGAGTTTTCCCGCACGGTGTGGTAAAACTTTTTTTTTTGACATATCAGTGCGGAAAAAGTTTTTCCGCACGGCTGTCAGTGCGGAAAAAAATTTACCGCACTGATATGTCAAAAAAAAAAAGAAAAATTTTACATTTTTACGCCTGTAGGAAAAATATTGTACCTAACACTTGGGGAAAATATTTTTCCGCACTTGTTAGGTAAATAGCTATTTCCGAATTTGAATTCACTTTTTCCGAATCTGAATTTACTTTTTCCGAATTTGAATTTACTTTTTCCGAAATTAACTTTACTTTTTCTGAAATTGATTTGACTTTTTCCGAAAATGACTTTACATTTTCCTAAATAAAAGTTACTTTTTTCGAAATTGAATTTACTTTTTCCGAAATTAACTTTACTTTTTCTGAAATTAATTTGACTTTTGAGTCATTTCCGGAAAAATTCAAATCAATTTCAGAAAAAGTAATGGTAATTTCGGAAAAAGTAAAGTTAATTTCGGAAAAAGGAAATTCAAATTCGGAAAATGTAAATTCATTCATAGCTTACTTTTGCCGAATTTGAATTTACTTTTTCCGAATTTGAATTTACTTTTTCCGAAATTAACTTTACTTTTTCTGAAATTAATTTGACTTTTTCCGGAAATGACTTGACATTTTCCTAAATAAAAGTTACTTTTTCCGAAATTGATGTTGA